AAAAAAAAAAAAAAAAAAACGCGGCTACTGCCATGCCGCGAATACTCATGCTGTTTCTGAAAAAAGTGGTGATAGTAGTGATCTTCATCGATGAAGTAGAAACAACAGGACGAAACATCTGGCAGATGCCGCAAGCCGGTGCTGCCAGGTGCTGCCAAGCTTCGTGGATTCATCTTGCGGCATGATTTGAAACTTCGCCGGCAGCGCAGATGTGTTGTTGAGCACCTGCACTTCTTTCATGCAAATTTTCTCGAGGTCCGCAAGCTCTTCAAAGAGCCGTCCATGCCAGTGCCCTTTCTCAAAGTGCTACATGCCATCTTGACAGGTGCTGGCAGTGGATTCATCTGTGGCGACTACCATGCATGCACCGATAACCCATGACTGTGGGCAAGCTGCCAGTGTCTGGTGTGAGGGATATCGGATGAAGATATCACCTGTGCGGCCAGAACTCAACTGCGAATAATCGGCAAAGCTATGCATCACTTCAGTTTAATTCGCACAAGGAGCCATACTCCAAATGTTCTGGAGGCTCCAGTGCCACTTGCGGTACAGCACATCGTGCTTGGATTGGGATGCTAGCGAGCTCCTGTCAAGCAGGCGGCAACTCTTTGGATGCAAGCCCCCCCATGCAAACCATGCAAACAGAATTCATCAGCACTACGGAAAGCGAGTAGACGAAAGGATGCAGTCCAAGGCGCCTGACCCACCCCATCCAAGTCCACCACCAAACATAAATCGTACGACTTCACATTCAGGCCTCACCGAAGCCCCAAAAGTCTGGCAAAGGTCCAGGAAAGAAGGACTTTCTGTGGCCAGCTCAGCCGCACGCTAATGAAATCTATTTGAATCTTCTGCGAGCAATTTGGCAAAAGTGTGCCCTTGGGCGGAATGACGTCGAACTCACCTCGGCTTCAACAGCTCTTCTGGTGAGCTTGCCCCAGTTTGATCCAAGTTGCACGCAAAGTTACATCAGCTTAAAACCTCAATTCAGTTCAGGAGGCGCTGCGTGTTTCGGCCATCGCCAGGAATTCGGAGAGCAAATCGCATGGGCACCTGGCTGCCAGAAGAACGGCGTACTCTACATGCCGCATAGCTTCAGCGGCTTCAAGCGTGGAAAACAACGATGAGGCCTCGGAGGTGTTCGTGAGAGTCAACGTCTTCGAGTTGAGGAATCCGTAGCTCACCACTCCAAAGGATATGCGATCCAAGTCAAAATGGAAAGTTGGAGAAACCTGGGCTACAACACCCGTCCAGAAAGGCGGAGCAATGCCACATACTTTAGCGAAGCCGAGGAGCTGAATGACCGCGGAAGCCCAATGCAATCTTCGAAGTGCTTCCTTAGCAAATGTGGCCGATACAACGTCGCAGTCTACGTGTGCTACTGGATGTGGCAAAGCACCCACCAGCTCCCAATAGAAGGTCTCCTGGAACTCCCCGAGCAGATCTGGGCCTTAGCAACACACCACGGACCTCGGGTTTTTCTTGATGTTGATTAACTGGGGCAAACACACACCTCCACCACGATGGTGCACTGGCCTGGCGCTCGCCAACCAAGGACATACTGCGGGGCTCATCCCAGCAAGGAAGGAGGATGAACAAGGGACCTAACAGAATCTGCGCAGGCGAGCTGCCACCAACTTCCAAGCGGCCATCGCTTGGTGTAAAGGCAAATTTCGAACCAAAAGGCGAATTGTTGGGAACCTGAAGGCTGCTTTCTGTCGGTCTGTCGGCTGACACCTACGCCGGAGCCCCACAACACCAGCAAAATCAGGCAAGGCCCGCACCAATCGAAATTCCACATCCTCAGGACACATTGGCTCAAGCTGTTACGAGCAGCAATGTGGCCAGCATAGCCGAGCAGCAATGTCACCTTGATTAATCAAATTGACCTCGTTTAGAAGGTGTCGGGGTGCATCTTGACTTTGTACTTGGAAGCAAGCTCAATTCTGCAGGCCTCGTACTGGTGGACAGACTCTACGAAAATGTCGCCCACATCCAGCTCGTCGTATGAGAAGGCAGCTTTTGGCCCAATCCCAATTCCTCAGGATGCCAACAGAAACCACCGCTGAGCAAGTGCTCCACGGGAATGCCAAGGCGCCCTTGAGCAGGAGCGGCAAGCGCTCCGCGCGGCCGACGATGGAGCAATAAGCCAAGCACTGGTAATGTAGAGCCGCCTCCCACAGCAGGCTGAGGCATGATATGCATACTGTTACCAGTACAAGCGCATCATCACATCGCCTGCTCTTCTCCCCCGTGTTGGGGCACGGGCACATGCCCAACTAGTGTTCAGGGTTGAATTTTGGAGACGGGCACCTTGTGATTTGAATTGTCTGGCATGTTTTGAAAGTTTCTTGGGCTTTCAGGTAAGCGGTGCCAAGGGATATTTGCCAAGAGAATCACTACAGGCTGCACTTCGGAGCAGCACATACACAACTGAACTAGTTCCTTCCCGCTGAACCATGATGGGTGTTGAAGCTTTCTTCGCAGACACTAGCCTCTGCAAGAGACGAGCACTGCATCGTCAAATCCATTGCCCTACCTCCCTGCCCATTTTTATGCCGGACACAAAAGTAACAACTCCATGACCACGTCAGAAGGTGCGCAGACAATAGCAATCATTTCTCCGTTAGACCGGCAGGTGCAAAGGTTATGTATGCCCTCAGTCCTCCCAAAATTGCAACGAGCCTGCACAAAAATCCTGTGGGAACCCTGTCTTTCCTCTCGTGCATGTGGAGGCACTGGCAACAGTACCCATGCAGCACACGCTATGGAGTGCGCAACAACTTTTCACGAAGGCAAATACCCAGCACCTCGCCGCGCAAACAACAGAAAGACATTATCTCAAAGATGGACCCTGAATCTGGCCCCAAGCACCTTCGGCGTGAAAGTGAAGGTGATGGCCACCTTGGACTTCGCCCAAATCTGGCCGGACAGCGGCTCAACCGCAAAAATCTCATCGTAGAAAAACATTGGGTCCTGAGGCTCTGTAACCCGAAGGCCGCTTCGTGTCATTCCCTGACTCAAACAATTCACTCTTGCTGGCATGGGCAGGAGCTTGGCAGGGGCAGTCCAAGACAGCCCAGCGCAACCACATGGCTAAATGAAAAACTGCTGGCCCGCAACATGCCATGACTAGGAACTCTCTGTATGCAACTCCCCATGAATAATTGAATCACAAGATTGACAATTCTTTGGGTTAACGTTCCGTAGTTTAGCCGCAACACATTGGGACCTTCATTGCAAAGGTCCATAAAAAGATCTCATCATGCCTCAAAACTCCGTAGATAGCCCTTGCTCCCTGCAACACTCCATGCTTTGTCATCCAGTACATGATTTTCCTACTTTTGCGGCTGTTCATGAAAACTGCCACCCTGGGTCCTCAAGGATCGCCTTCGCGATGTTCTTGTATCCTAGGATAGCCCGCACCATGCTAATGGTCATGATTGTAGCGACGGGAGCCACACAGAGAGGTTTCGTGCCAAGACAGCCAGGAAGCTCCGCTGGAGAGCACCATGCGCCAGCTCTACGCCCTTCAGCCTGCATAGCCATGATGGGAAGAGCCACTGCCACCACCACCGCCGCCGACGCCGCCACCAACACCATCACCACCACCACCACAGACACCAGCATGGCCGCCGCTATACCAACTTTGAGAACCACACCAAGAGCAGCAGCAACAGCAGCAGCAGTTATCAGCATAAGCTCGTTTTGCAGGAGGATGAGTGGTGGTAGTACGTCATCGCCTTCGTCGTCATCGTTTGCTCGGCTACCATACGCAGCACGAACAGTAGCCATCATCTTTCTTCGTATTGGTGGTGGTGGTAGTAGCAGCAGCAGCAGCAGCAACGGAGGGTGGTACTCTTAGTAGTAGCAGTGGCCGTCACTGCCCTACTAGCCGCAGCAGTAGCACTAGAAGCACCAATAGCAGAAGCAGTCGGGTCACAATTGCAAGAGCAGTAGCGGCAGCCGTACTTCTTGCTTCTGTTATTGTGGTGGTTGCAGCTGTGGCTGTTGTACCAGTAGGAGGTATGACCCCCTACAAACAGCACTTATTCTGATGGGGAACACAAAATTGGAGGGAAGGGTTCATCACGTGCTGAATCAAGAACTTGCGAAAAGATTTGCCCAGCACAAATGTGGACAATCTTTCTGTTCTTATGGTGGTCTGCCAGTACAATAGGAGCCTTGCGGACGTGCGCGAATCAGACGCCATACAGACGAAGCGGACAGAACTGCACCGCTCTGGAGTTTGGATCTGAAGCGGACGCAACTTGTGTTTCTGGGCCCCCTGCGAGGAGCACTTGGTCAGGTACTCGTCCGATGATTCGCTGAGTTGAGACTCGTCATCGGAGTCTTCACCTCAGTGGCCAAGGCACAGGCCGACACACTGTGAGAGAGCTTCACCCCATCGTATAGAACAAGGAGCCCATGGAGCTCAATTCCGTCAGTGCCGCCGCCTCATCGCCTTCCTCCTGCTTCAGCTGCACCTGACACCGCCGGGTCTGGCTTGTAGCAGGCTACCATAAGTACCTCCAGCCTACGTACAATCACCCTGCCTGGAGTTTGAGCTTCTGACCAATCTCCTGGCAAGCAGGGGCCCTGTCACAGATCTCCATACTGAGTGCAATGATACCTGAAAAAGCCCAAAATCTACACCTAGAATACAGCATCCCAAATGAGAACCTTTCATGTTTGACCACTTAAGAGCATCCCAAAACTTTGACATTAATCAGTCTAACCAGATCTGATGACTTGAGCTTGCAACCCGCATTTTTCAAGTCGGGTCCTCTTGTATGGAAGGAAAAGCACGCCAGCTAAAGTCCACAGGAATCTCGGAGTTGTTGTGTATTGTAATCGTCTTCTGCGTCGAGAGCGCCTCAGCCAAGCTACAGCTGTCCTCCTGGCAAGACTGCTGTAACAATCTGTAACATGTACAGCTTGGGGTGTGGAGTGCTGGTACATAAGGGTGCTGGACGGTGCCGGTGAGTTCCTCCATCTCCTTGTTTCATTTCTGACAAGGCGCAATGAATGTGTCCTCCATCTGAAGCTGGTTGGCCTTGGCTCTGGCGAGATGTCCCATCGAGCGGAGGACTTGACTTGTTTGCTGATATTCACCACCATCAATGTGCTTCATTCAGTCATTCAGAACACTTGAGCTCATTTGATTACAACAATAAAGCTCGACACGAAGTCCGAGCAGTGAAAGTGACAGATTGTCTGAGCGATCGATGCTTCCGTCTCAGCCAACATCCACTTGAAGAAGAGGTGCTGAGAAGGTCACAGACACATTCCTGAGATAAAATCAGTCAACATGACAGCTCACACGGCTCAAACAAAACTGCCACAACAGCACGCAGCTTCAGGAACTGAGACAAGTCTTGCAGACTGAGACAAGTCTTGCAAACTAGCTTCTCCGCCTTCCCCTTCAAGGCCACATATGCTTCAATTCCGTCGCCATATATGACAAGCAAATCTCGCCTGAGCTAGCCCACTTTTGCGTTCAAGTTGAGCATGGAGACTCCCACGTCCACGTGTGAGCGCGGGACTCGTACTGCTCTGCCTTATCGGGTCTGAATACTACGTCCACCTGCCAACAGGCCACCAGCTCAGGAGTTGGGCACATGCAAGCAGGGCGCTGTGTGCCTGCACGATCTCACCGACCTCCAGGTAGCCATCCTGTATTGATGTGCTGAAAGGTGGCGGAACCTTCAGGTAAGTTAGTTGCCAGAATGAAGCCATTGGCATGCGCACACTACCCCGAGACCTTCAGCAAGAACTTTGTTGCCTTTTCGCCCACGTTCCGCACCTAGGCTTACGTCATCAGAATGCGAATGCGGCAGGAGCCGCAGGAGCCTCCCGGGCTCCTGGCCATAATGGTCTTGGGTGACTCAAACTTAACCGGCGACAAGCCGAAGTCCAGCTCATCTGGCAGATCCAGCAGTGCGCTGCCCCCAGTCGCACGGATGGCCACGATGAAACGCTCCCGCCTGGGTTCGGGCAAGCAGCCGTTGGGGGGCTTCAAACTGATGTTACTGATGCATCTTTCCGATTAGCGGCTCCGTTACAACAACCAGGTCATAGGAGTAGTCCTCCACCTTTCAAAATCTGTCAGCTTGAGAAACGCTAGAAACCTTCTAACTGTCAACCACTTCAGCCCATCTCTGTGAACCTGTTGGTCCGGGGTGAAGCGTACCTTGGGTCGCCAGTGCTTGGTGTCATGGGCAACTGTACTTGGCATTGCATGGTCGCTAGCTTTTTGCTGGCATGGGTTGCAGTGTAGGAAACCTCCATCCCAGGAGCGACCTTCAGAAAGGGCATGGCAACTTATGTCCCAGAATTGAAAAGGCCATGGCCTTGTTGTCACCATCTCCATTGATTTTGCGGCCTTTGCCAGGCAAAACCTTGAAGAATGTACTATCGGGTTGCCTCAGATCGCACACAGCAGTTTGGGCATGCAAGTCTTGATCAGCCACTTGAGCCCGTGCCCCAGTTATGAGTCCCAGTACCCCCACCGCTCTCAAAATGGCAAACATCGCCACTTTTTGAGCCTGCTGGGGGATTGGAAACTGACATGGGCAATTTTGTGCTGCTGGGCTGCAGGATCTTGACCTTATCAAAGTGCAAAGGCCAGTCTGGCTGCGTGCACTATGTGTACCGAAAGCTACCATGACTTGTAGAAACAGGTCATTCAAGCGGCCCTTCTGGCGACGTTGTCCTGATTTCGCAGGCACAGCGTGGCGTCCAGGTTCTGCAAACTTTCCTGACATCACCGCATCCTACAGCCGGTGCTGAACAAAGTTTCAATTCAAACCCATTACATCTGCGAACCCCGAAGCTAGCATCCTTGGAGGATTCTTCTTCTTCATTCGAAGGGGTCTGATGCTTCAGTGGGGAAATCTAGGGAATAGAAGGCAAAAGGGTCTCACCCCTCGCATCTAAGCGCCGAGGGACAAAATTTGCGAATCGAATCTCCGGAGGAGTCGCCTTGAAAAGCGGCTCCTCCACGGGAACGGCAGACTCCACCTGACAAAAGCAGCGAGGTGCATGATGGCGACTCATGGTTTTGCAAGCTTGGACTTAGCGGATTGCACACAACACCTAATTCAACTGCGCCAGCTGAACAACCGATGTGCTTCGCAAAGCTTTTGTTGAACAGCTGACAACATGGGAAGTCCCATCTTTTCCTGAAAATGCCCTGCTAATCTTCCCAGCACCCTAATTGTTGCCTGGTGGGTGTAGTCTCCCATGTCCTGGAACGCTACAATGCGGCACGTCATGTTGTCCTGGCACGCACATCTCGAACTCCGGATGCAATCTCTGCGCTGCCTGCATGACCGGACTCCTGTGTCTCCTACCTTCCCCTGGACCTGGGCACACCTCCCACCCCGTCTCCAGCTGACTCTTCGATGGAGCCGTGAGACCACCGGGTTGCCGTGCAGCTGCAATGACCTCCCAACGCTTCAGGATAGACACCAAGAATGAGAAGGGAATCAATGTCGGGCTCTCTTCAATGTTCAGAGCACTTTTCCAACATGGTTCGAAAACCTATCAAGAGGGGTAGAGTGCCTCTGGGCATCGAAAAAAGAATTACGGTTCCATACAAGGAATCCTGCCAGTAGCGTGCTAGACACCAGAATTCATTCAGACCTCAGCGCCTAGCCAAATTGCTTCATGAAATGATTCTTGGTCAAACAGGCCGCACCATTAAAAACAAAGGCTTGCGTGACAATTCTGAACCCAGACACCTCGCTTGGCTTTCGCTTCAAGGAGGATGTTGATGTCGGGGCCAGCGTGCCTCATGACCGAACTGCACTTCCCCTTTGCAGACTCTTTCGGGAAGCCGAAGAATAGGAAGAGAGGCAGCCATAAGCAATAGCCACATACTTCTAACGTGCGCAGCTCCAGTTTACACACTGCCATCCATATAGAGATATCCCACAGGCCCATGCCGAAGCTGACGCTCTCAGGGATTGTGCCGAGCTTCTACTGCCCAGCGGCACCATCTTGGAAGCTGGCACTCTGTCGCTTGAAGTACCCCTGGCAATTCCGACGATGCTTGACTTGACCCCTTCCCCCGAGGCTTCAAGTACTTTTGACTTTTGACATTTCTAAATGCTCCATCGCAATCAGATCAGAGTCAATCTGAAAGTCAAACACAAACCGAGGAATCATTTGGTACATGACCTCTTCAAACCTGAGCCCCACCTGAAATGTGAAGCCTTGCATATAACCGACCCTACCCTGGAACGAATCCAGAAAGTCGCTCAAAGTCATCTCCCAGCCTGGCACTAAGAGGTGCGCCTCAGCTGGTTGAAGAAAGCTGCTTTCTTAAAAACTCAGCAGTTCACAACTGAACTGGTGAATGGCGAACCCCCATCAAAGACGACGCTCACCCGAGGCTGACGCCATAGCCAGACAGGGGGATCCGTTTTGGGGTGGGACCCCGAGCGCTTTGCGCTCCAGATCTCGACCCCTGACTCGGCAGGGTAGACATGCTATGTTACCTCAGCTCAAACAATACAGCGCAAGAATTGGAAAGTGCACGACTTCCTGGAAAAGCTGAGCTGTGAGCAGGCAGCCCGCCGAATTTTAGCAGGCCGCTTGGGGCTAAGGCCGAGCTCTCCGGCTCTTTGCCTCTAGCCCCACCCTTGATCTATAACAGCTGCAGGCACCACAAGCAATGACGCATTGTACACCAGAAACGGAGCCTGGGATTGTTGCGCAACAACTGGCACACAGCAGGACAGCAGCATGAGGTCACATCATAGCTTGGCATGAAATTTTGCGTAAAAGCATATCAAAGGGCATCGACACCCTGCCACACTTCTAGTTGGATCATGTATCTAAACATGGTTTTACTGCTGTATACTGAACCGATACTCAGGAAGAACGGGGCAGTACCTCTGGGCTTTGCCGCATGTCCAGCCATAGCTCACCTGGCCATGCCACATGCAAGCTTGGCCACCTTCCATAGATGCGTACATTATAAAAAAAAAAAAAAAAAAAAAAAAA